CCCCAAAACCCCAAAACCCCAAAACCCCAAATTCCTTTATCAGACTAAGAAATAAGTGATTGTTTTATGAAATCAAGAATAGTTATAAAATAATCTTGTTTAAAGTCATTTTTTGCCTTTGATTTTACTTATAGCTTCAACGGCTCTTTGATTGCCAGGCTATATTTGCAAAATCTACTTATAAAGTTTGTCAGCAAGATCAAATCTCTTTTGACTTTCATAGATTTAACCTAAGCTATGATAAGTGTCAAAGTTATTTTTGTCTAATTCAATTGCTCTCAGGTAATGCTAGATAGCTTTGTCAGTTTTTTCGATATCATTATAAGCTGATGCAATATTGAAATGAGTCTCTGCATTCTTTTCATTTATCTCTAGAGCTTTAGCATATGTATCGATAGATTCTTGGAATTTGTTCATCATATAATAAGCATTACCCATATTATAATAAGCTGGAGCATTTTTAGGGTCTAAGGCTAAAGCATCATTGTAGGCCTTAATAGCAGAATCAAAATCCTATTTTCCGCATAGTGCGTTTCCTAGGTTATAATGAGCTTCAGATTTCTTAGGGTTAATCTCTATTGCTATTTTATAGTGAGTTATTGAAAGCTCGACTTATTAGGAAAGATAAAGTGCATTTCCAAGATTATAGTGAACATCAGAGTTCTTTGAATCTATTTCCAAAGCTAGTTGATAGAATTAAACTGCTTTCTTAAGATTTTTAAGATCATAGTGTGCATTAGCAATGCCTATGACTGCTTATATATCTTTATTATTAATATTCATTGCATATTTGTAGTATTTGATCGAATCTTCAGAATGGCCTGTTTCAAATAAAAGATTTCCCATAGTTATTAAGGATAGAATGTAATTCTTATTCAATGATATTGACTTCTTCAATGTCTCAGCTGCTAATTCGTACTATCCAATCTCCATTTATATCAGAGCCATCTAGGTCATAGCTCTAAAATGATTCGGTTCCTTTTTAACTATAAATTCATAATGCCTTAAGCATATTTTTTTATTTTCTGGCTAGAATTATTACATAGTCTTGGCTAATCCATAATTAATGCTGATTGATTCAGGATCTTACTTTAGAGCATGCTTATAGTATTTTAAGGCTCTTTCTCCTTCATTAATACTGGCAAGAAGGTTTGCTAAATGTATACAAGCCCCTAGATTCTTAGAATCAAGAGTCAAGCATTTTTTATAATATGTTGCGCACTTCTTATAATCTTTCATCTTCTCGTAAGTTTAACCCATATAAAAATGAGTGTTTGCAAATACTTAAGGGGTAATCTTATTTTCTTCTTTCAGGGCGAACTGTACTTGCAGAACTTTGCTATAGATTTCGGTAGCCTCTTGATATCTTGTGAGCTTATCAAGAATTTTACCTTTAAGAATCATAGAATCATTATTATCTGGTTGAATTTCGAGAGCATTATTTATATAAGTCAATGCTTCTTCACTTTTGTTCAGTTCTCTGAATAAAACTCCAGCTAATTTAGAATTGACTTCTTAGTTTTAAGGTAGAAAACCCTATGCTTGTTTTAAATAGTCAACTCCTTATTACATGCTCTTTTTGCTTCTGACGAATGCCCACCCAAGCCTGAAATAAATATTTCCCTTAAGCTAATTATCGATAACTTCATCTACCTCATATAACTCTAATGCTTTCTAATACATCGTAATTGCTTCATCAAATCTCTTAATCTTATCTAGTGATTTGGCTTTAAAAAGTTCGATCAAATAATCTTCTTTTGGTTTAATTGCTTCTTCTGCTTACATGAACCATTCATATGCTTTTTCACACTAGTCCATTTTGTAAAAGACCTCTCCAAGTTTCATGCAGACATGAACCTGCATGAAACTGGGATCAAAATCAACTACTTACAGGAATTGTTTTACAGCTGATTCATTTTATTGCTCAGCTAAATCTATTATTCCCAATCTGAAAATTGCTTTTAGATCTTTAGGATTTGCTTCAATTCTCAAGTTGCATTCTTCTCTATTCCAGAATAAGAAATCATCTTCTTGATACATAGTAGATCTCTTAGACTAAGAGACAGATATTTGACTAGCAGCTCTCTAAGGAAATACTTACTCTTCCTCTTATTTTGGGGGTTCTTATTCTTCCTCCTATTATGGAGATTCTTGTATTTCTTCTTATAACTGTGTTTCTTCCTCTACTTATAAATCTTCTTATTATTAATCTTCTTGAACTTATTCTAAAATTTCTTCTTTTAGCTCTTCTCCAAGAAATTATGTTTCTTACATAACATTACTACTAGTATCTCCTTCAGGTTCCAATTATAAATTCTGTTCGTCATTTGCAATCATAGTTTCTTATTATATTATTTCTTCATAAGCTTCCACCTTTTCATCATCTTCATGAGCTTCTTTTACTTTTTCTCTTACTGATTATCTTGATCTCACAGTTGATCTAATTTCTAACTACTCCATGTCCTATTCCTCCTTTATATCCTCATACTCCTCTTCCTCTTGTTAATTTTCCTCATAAATTTGGTCTTCCATTTCCCCTAGCTATTGGGATTAAACTTTTGCCAGATTATTTTGCTCAAGCAATACTGTATTAAGAGCTTTATAGTGTTATTCACCCGACCCTGCATCTTCTGGTATCATAATCTCTTCATCATCAATGTTTTTCTCTTCTAACTAGGGTTATTAATCATCCAAAATGTCTAGACCTTGAACAATTTTTTCATGATCAATTGATTCATTTCTCCTAACTGATTGCCTAGAGCCTAGTGCTTTTCTGCTTATTTCCATGTTTTACTGTATAGGAGTTGCCTATAAAATTGACTTGAATGATTATTGAGTTCTATCCATGTCTAGCTAAAGCATACTTAAATTTTAATCTTAAAACTCAGAGTTTTGCTTTAAAATCGATAAAGGCAATATAGCCTTTTCATTTTATTCTGAGTTCCTAACACTCTTATCCGAATTTAATGTTTGTTTCTTAATTAATGTGTTTTCCGATTTGGAATTCATATTCAATATTCTAATTTTTGGCTTGACCATTTCAATTATCGCTTCTTCTTTTTGCTCATTAACTAATTTAGGTTCAATAACAGATTACTATTTAGATCCTACACTTTTATTTACTTCTTTTTCTGATTCTTATTATATATCAATCGACTATCTTTTGCTTAATTAGCTCTTTGACTGTTCTTTGATTTCTTCTTAAAGTTCCTCATTTTAGTCTTATAATTGGTCTTATAAACTTTAATTTTATTCATCCAGATTTAAGTCTTATTCATCTTAATTCTGATCTTATTAATCATAAATTTGGGTCTCTAACTATTACTCATTAATTTCATCTATAACTATTATGTCCTCTCTATTTTCAGTAATTTCAAATTATTTTTTCTCCTCTTCTTATTTTTTCTGCTGTTCTAAAATGAGTTTTTATTATTTAGCAAGTAACTGTGATTAAGCTCTAGCATCTGTTTCTTTGTCTTTCTCATTTTTCTAATTCTAAAGATCTTCGAGTCGCTTTCTGAACTTCTTTGATCCTGGATTGATCTTTAAGATATCTTAAACTAATTCAATAGCTTTCTCAATATTCTTGTTTCTCTCATAGATAATAGACATATTTAGAAGAACATTAACTTGATAGACCTCCTCATTAGTAGCTTTCGCATATTAGTAGGCTTTTTAGAAGTATTTAAGAGCATGATTATCATTAACATCATTATTTTGATCAGGCTAGCCATAGAGAGTTGCTTTAAGTACTCCTAGATTGTAATGAGGGAAAAAGCTGTCATTTTAATTTTGGGAATTTTAATTCTTCTTAGTCTTATCATTTTATTGTTAAGTTCTAGCAAGCTCCAAGGCGGTTTTGAATAGTTTTTATGCTTTATCACCATTTCCAGTCCTCTTCTATAAGATTCCTAGATTATTCAAGATTCTGACTTCAGTTCCATGATCTCTGCTAAGATTCTATAGTAACTTAATACTATTATCTCTTTTTCCTTGCTTTTCTCTAGTTATAGCATAGTTAGTAACTGCTTTCACGTAGATCATGCTTTTTTGTAGTATTTAGCTGTCATCACTTTCACATTTACTCATGCATTTTTTGTAATAAATCCCAGCCTGACTAATCTCCCCCAATCTGTCATAAATCATTCCAATATTAAAATATGCTTTGGCGAATTAGCCTTTGAATAGTTCTTGAATTTATTATTAAAAGGCTTCCAGATTCTATTGGCTCTAGAGTGTATCCATAGATCTATTAACAGATTTGTTCTTTGGATTCTTGTTTGGACTATTTAGACTTGATGATCTGGGATCATCTTTTTTAATTGATTTAAGGAAGTAATTCAAAGAACTATCCAAATCCTATTTCTGTTACAAGTAAATCAACCCCAAGCTAAAGTTAGCTTCTATGTCATCAGGATCGATTTAAAGAGATTAATTGTAGATTTCTATTATCTAATCCAAAACGTTAGCTGATTTTTGTTAAGGAGCATTCGCATTTCCAATTCTCAGACAATTAGCCAGCGAGTTTAGTGCTTCAACTGAAGTAGGATCAATTTCTAATGCCCGTCGGTAGAGTTTTTCAGATTCAGTGTAATTTTTATCTCTAAACATTAAAGCATCAGCTTTAGAAAATAAATCATCAATCTGGTTCGCAGTTGTCGGGTTAATAGCAGGCAAGTTACTCTAATTCATGCTGATTCTAGAATTCAAGTGAGAATCGATGTTAACTTAAGGCAGCTACTGGATTGACTACTTTCTTTATTGATTTTAGCTTTATCTTGACATTTAATATTTATTTTATATTTTTAGACTTCGTTTTAACTTTTAATTTCCTGGGGTTTTGGGGTTTTGGGGTTTTGGGGTTTTGGGGTTTTGGGG